AAACAGAAAGAATTTTAATAAAACGAATAATACAAAATGAATAATGAACATAAATAATCCAACACTTAGTATAACTAAAAAAGGTTCAGGTATGTAACAGATGTTCAAATTGCTTGCCATCTTGTGCAATACAACAAGCGATTCTATCTTCGAATGATTTACTTACATTAGTTAACATAGGAGGAGTTATTGAAGCAAACGCGTTTGTAATTCTTAGCAGGTGTGGCATATACAATATTTTTAATATAACCCCACTTAAAAAATCCATCTTGGTTAGCCCTGGTGACCTAGGGGGCCAATTATATGAACCACCTCTATATATCCATCTGTTTGTAAATTTTCTGTTAAGGTAGTTCCTAACATTACGTGAGAAATGAGCAGGAGCTCCGTCCAACTGGAGCCACATTTTTGTTCGTAGACCAGTGGAAGGTTCTCAAGAAGTGTCCAAAAACCTTGATTTAAAAAATTTAGGAAATTTGTCCCATTAAGATGTCCGTAAAAAAAAATACGGGCCGATAACGTACTCGCCCATAATGCCGCCCCAAACAACACTCCATTAATATCCATGGTGTTCCACTTAAAATAAGCCACATATTAGAAATTGAATAATCCAAAATTGAAACTAAGTTTTTAACACCCTGTAAATAAATGTTTAATAATCAATAATGATATCAGTATAACCATTACTCAACTATTTCGCTGTAAGAGAAAATTTGTTATAATTGCTTAAATATGTAAGTCGAGAATGAGTCTTCTTTAAATTTTTTTTTTGTTTATAATATAGGAAGTGGTTTATTTTATATTATTTGTTTTATTAAAATTCTTTCTGATTCGTTGTGCATCAACACGTAAAAGTATAAAGTATACACATTTGTTTACAACTACATTGGTTTCATTTGTAACAAATATGTCAAAATAATGGGTTTAAAAATCGAGAGTAACAACTATAAATATTGAAATCGAAAAGAAAATTTTAAATTATGCAAAATCTATCACTCCTAGTTATAGGACATCCATATATCATTCGAAAGTGGAATTTTTTTTTAATATAATAATTCATTAATATACAGGGTGTTCCATTTAAAATAAGCCTTATATTACACATTGAATAATCTAACAATGAAACTACAAATTTTGAACACCCTGTAAATAAATGTTTAATAATTTATCAAGAAATACATTTAACCAATATTCAACTATTTAGAGGTGTAACCAATTTTATTAGAATTTCTTAAATAAGTTAGGAATGAGTCTTCATTTAAAGCTTTACATTTTAAGAATATTCCACATATTCTATGAACTCGAATAACTCGTTCATAACTCGAACACTATGTACCGGGTGGTCCAATAAGCCGATCTCTCGGCTATATATCAGAAACTATTCATGTTATAGATAACTTTAGAAAAAAAAATTCCTTAGTAAAAGTGGCCACGAGAAATCGCTGGAAATAACTTTCAAGATTCTGGATTAACCGCTAGGGGGCGTAACCTGCGAAGAAAATTTTGAAAACCAGTTTTTTGGGAAATATGTCCAATTATACCAAGTGTTAAATAAGTAAACTAGAAAGGGGCATAAATTCTGCACAAAGTTGTTCAAGTACTTTTTTTTTATTTTTTCAAATAAAGGGTGGGGGAGAGTGGGAAAGTATTTGTGGATAAATACCTATAACTTTGGTTTGATTCAACCGATTTTAATGAAATTAGTGTCATTAGAAAGAGTGTGGATGAATTAATTCACATCTACTATAAAATACTTGCATTCAGTTTTCATAGTCGTAGGTAGAGGGGACTTTCAAATAAAAAAAAATTAAAATATGTTTTTCTTCAAAATTTTTAATGGAAACACCTATTTATTGTAAATTATAATGGAACTGGAATAAATTCGCAACAAAATGGAGCAAACCGCATGTTAATAGCTTTTGTTGAACTCGAGATATGAATAAAAACTCATAAACATAAGTAAGTATAGTATTGACACACCCTGTATTATAAATTACATTAAAAAATAAGTCAGTAGGTATTTTCAAATTGTTTTATAGCAGAAAAATCTTAATGTTGATACCTATTTTGTAAAAAATAGTTTTTTCGAAACTAAGTAGGCTACGACAATGAATTTGACGGGGAGTTCATATTGTTTATTTATTGACAGCAGTCAAAACGTTGTTAAGAAGTGCTATATTATAATTCGAATTAAAGATTGCACTTTTTTCAATAGATATTAATATTGGTAATATTAATAATTAATTATCAGTACAAATAATTCGTGATGAGTATATCAAATTGTATGATATGATTGGAGTTTATTTCGAATGTCACCAAAATGCCGCTATTGCCTCAAGTATATATTTTGTAAGATATCGTGTCAGGGGACATTATGGCAAAGAAGTATTTGAAAGAAAGGCAAAAAGATTAAGAGAAACTGGTAGTTTTTCTCGTCCTTGTTTTAAACGACGTAGTAGAGTTATGACCGAAGATAATTCAATCAATGTTCTTGCTTTAATTCAACAGAATCCACATATGAGTAGTCCGAAATCTCTACTTCTTTGCCACAATATCTCCTGCCAGGATATCTTACAGAATATATACGTGAGGCAATAGCGCCATTTTGGTGATATTCGAAATAAACTCCAATCATATACAATTTGATATACTCATCACGAATTATTAGTACTGATAATTAATTACTAATATTACCAATATTAATATCCATTGAAAAAAATGCAATTTTCAATTCGAATTATAATACATATAACACTTCTTAACAATATTTTGACTGCTGTCAATAAATAAACAATATGAACTCCCTATCAAATTCATTGTGGTAGCCTACTTAGTTTCAAAAAAACAATTTTTAATCATATGAAATAACAATGGTCAAAATAGGTATCAACATTAAGAGTTTTCTACTATAAAAATTTTTGAAAGTACCTACTGACTTATTTTTTAATTTATTTTATAATACAGGGTGTGTCAATACTATACTTACTTATGTTTATGCGTTTTTGTTCATATCTTGAGTTCGATAAAAGCTATTAACATGCGGTTTGCGCCATTTTGTTACGAATTTAATCCAGTTCCATTATAATTTACAATAAATAGGTGTTTCCATTAAAAATTTTGAAAAAAATCAAATTTTAATTTTTTCTATTCGAAAGTACCCTCTATCTACGACAATTAAAACTAAATGCAATTATTTTATAGTAGATGTAAATTAATTCATCCATACTCTTTCTAATGACACTAATTTTGTAAAAATCGGTTGATCCAAACCAAAGTTATAGGTATTTATCCACAAATACTTTCCCACTCTCCCCCACCCTTTATTTGAAAAAATAAAAAAAAGTACTTGAACAATTTTGTGCAGAATTTATGCCCCTTTCTAGTTTACTTATTTAACACTTGGTATAATTGGACATATTTCCCAAAAAACTGGTTTTCAAAATTTTCTTCGCAGGTTACGCCCCCTAGCGGTTAATCCAGAATCTTGAAAGTTATTTCCAGCGATTTCTCTTGGCCACTTTTACTAAGGAATTTGTTTTCCTAAAGTTATAACATGAATAGTTTCTGATATATAGCCGAGGGATCGGCTTATTGGACCACCCGGTACATAGGTATAGGGAAGTCTTATGAAACTATACCTAAATTTTTTGCTGACAATTAGAAAATCCAACAATATACAGGGTGTTCCATAAGGAAAAATATAATTTTGAAACGACGCGCTTTATTACATACTATACTTTTATATTTTTTTTTCAAAATCTTTTACCGTTTCGCTGTAATCTTCCGTCCCGTTAGTGGTGACTCACCTTGTATGTTGTTTGACTGTGACAACAGACTTAAGGTAAAGTATCACAATTGTAGAAAGTGACTCATATTCTAATGATTTTTATAGGCCAGTAAAATATATAATATACATGATACTATGACTATAAGATAAGATATTGCGCATGTTTTTGTGACGTCATTGGAGACTTGCACGTTCGAAATGTCAGGTTTTGTATATATCAATAAATAATCTTTAATAAATAGTTTGGACATATCCTTATGTGTACGATTATTGTAATTATTAAACCTCTTAACTTATTTTCGTCTAGTAATTTCATCACAGAATGCATACAAATTTCATTTAACTTTAACAAGAATTCAAATTCTAGTCTCCAATGACGGCATGCGCGAACCCGACTGATTTTGAGCTACGGGAAGATCCTATCTTGTTATTCATAGTATCATGATAATATATATATATATATATATATATATATATATATATATATATATATATATATATATATATATATATATAATAAGTCTACTATGAAAAAAGATTTTTAAAACAAAGCGCATATGGTCCTGATTTCTCAGTCTATCGCCAAAGTACCACACGCCTACCACTGTGCCGAGTGCCGACATGAGCACCATCGCTGCGTGACTTAAGGCCAATATTGCATTCTAACTGTGGCTTCTACTTGGAATATTTTCAATTATATTTGTGGCTAATTCCCAGAAAATATAATAACTAAAATAAGTGTTCATGTTTTTACAAGCATTGTGAATACTTCAACCTAATTTTGCACAATATAGGATCATCGTAAGGAACCTATAAAATATTGCTGATAACAGATAGTGTTCATTTAAAAAAAAATGCGGAATAATAAAAACATTATTCGAGCGTAATACGTACTTAGATTAGTTTTTTACCAAACAAAGCATATCAAAAAATTCCTTATCTATAATTTACACAAACAATGGACGGTAATCTTTTGAATACCTAACGTATGGATGTCGACATCAACGAAAACCAATAGAATTATCTTTAGTGGCCCCTATAAACTATATTAGTAAGGGGAAAATATAAGAGCCCAAATATTACACCATAATGATGGGATAAAGATATGTGTTTCCATAAGAGCGTATAAATAAGTGGATACTAAACAGAAACAAAAGTATTGCGTTTTATTTGGTTATTGTACTAATATTCTGTATTAATAAACATGTCTTACCTGATAACCACAGGTACAAGGGAAGAATGTAAGATCATCAACCTCAAGTGGTTCCATGCACAGCGGACACTCCACCTGCTCCTCGCCACTTTGATTTAATACTGACATCTTAATAGTTTCAGTAGTGATCACTCTATAGAAGTCAAAAACTTCCTTTGCCTGAAACAAATAAAAATAGATGATAACTTTCATGCTGATTTCTTTTTTGATGATTGTGACACAAAAAAAAACAAGAAAACACATGATCTGCAGATATATCACATTTCATATTCCAAATCAAGCTATTAATGTAATACATATGTTATTTAATTTTATATAGTAATTAATATTTATTAAAAAACCTCCAGACAGCCAAATGAAAAACTCAATATCATCGAGTTAGAATCTATGGAGAGGGCATAACGACCTAACTTCAGCCATATTGGTATTATTGTTTTGAAACTTTTGACAGATCATATATGTTTGGTTATATTTGTTGTTTTTCGAATATTTTGTTTTATAATAATTTTATAGAAACTGTAATATATTGTGATAGTGCATAATAATGGTTTCTTGTTCTCAACTTAGTTGCAGTAGCAGAAGTAATGTTAATAAAAAATTTTCAGGAATATCGTTCCACAGGTTAGTATACAAATATGTAAACAAAGTAATGGCCCGTACTTCAGAGAATAAATTAATACTATTTGACTGTATTAATTTATCTTTATATATAATATATTGTGTTTTTAGTGTTTACTGCGGGATAAATAAATCATAGTTTATTAAAAATGTATTGCACTTTTTTAGATTATGATTAAATCTTCTGAATAACTAGTCATATTTGTATAGTAGTTTTTTATTATTGAGTCTGGCCCTGATGTCACCGCCATATTGGTATTATAGTTAGCCACTCCTACCTATGCCGTTTTTAATACATACGTTAATATGCTCATAGCTTCTCCATAGATTCTAACTCGATACTCAATATATAATGTACTTATTCATATTGACATTTTTCAGACATACTGGATATAAAAGTATAGACTCTGGCCACTACCTAGCTAGTGTTAAACTTAGAGCCCATATATACAACTCTAAGAAAGAGCACAATACAAAAAGTATAAAAAATAAAATAGATTTCTTTGTAAAAATCTAGAATTATTCTCAAGCTAAACAGTTACAAAAAATTGTTGGAAACAAACATAGAAGAGCACTGCATTTAATAAAAGAAGTAATGTCCACAGCGACTAAAGGTGTTTTAATACCTAATGAGGCAAAAAGAAACAAAGATTGATTAATTGAAGAGTGTAGAGCGACAAATCAACAGAAAAACAAAGCATGTAAGAGGCTTCATAGAGTAAAATTTGATTAACCATAGGACAATATGAACATCTTAGGCAAGTTGAGATGGGAATTTTTAGAAGGAAAAAGGAACAATAGAAAGAACCTACGAAAATTATAAACAAATAAATAGATAAGGTCCATTCGCTCAGCTCGGGCATATTTTGACAGATTCATAGCTATGTAGAAACCTACAACACAAAAATTCCTATCACAGAATATAACAGCTTAAATAAACTTTTATTACAAACATCTTTCGTTGAAAAAAGAAGAATTATTATAAATAGTGGAAGTGTATATTGAACCCATAAAATTTTGGGTAGCATATATTTAAAAAATATATTTCAGTTGGTATAATTTAACATATTCCAGTAAGTATTTGTATTAATGATGCTTATAATTTTATTATTTGTTATTATATATTATATGATGTAAATAAATATTGATTGCTGCTAATTCATAAAGTTCTCTTTTATTTATGTATTTTTACATTAATATTGGATATGAGAATGTGTGCTTGGCTGTATAGTAATTTCCAGTCACTTCTAGTCTGTCAAAAAGTAACTAACTTTGCAGAAAAATAGTTACTAAATTCACTAGACAGTTCGGACTGGGAATAGCAAACTAACTATAAAAGACTGCTCCCCTAAGCCAAACAAACAGTGTGGCTTCCCATGGTAACAAATCAACAACCCATCAAATGTTTAAATGACGCAAATTCTTAAGAAAACCCTAAATTTGACATCCTTATCCACCACATATTTGTGGATTTCCAAGCAAGCTGCATATCACTCAGTAAATAAACAAAAATCAATTTAAGAACTGCTGATTCAAATGCTGCCTCAGTTTGTGCAACCAACAGAGCTTCACAGGTACAGACGGCAGCAGAGTTGGGAGTTTATAAAATTTTAAAACTTTATAAAAATGGAATAAGACAGTGAGATGGACTATTATGTCTTCTATTTGATCTTGTGCTAGAAAAAGTAATTTGAGATTCTCAAATAATAATGAATTTTTAAAATCTAATAACTATTTGCTGCAAGAAAAAGTTGATTCATTAAAGACTGAGTTAAAAAACTATTGCACCAAAGATAAAAATAAAATACAAATTTAACTTAATGACCCACAAAATAAAAACATTGAAAATATATATAAACAACCAATTCAATCAGATGTTGACAATTTTGTATACAAAACAAATAACTTATTCAACAGACACACTTAGTGAACAAACACACCTAACTTACAGGTGGAAAGCGAATATGAAAATAATACAATGGATGAAATAACTAATCTCGCTTTGCCTATGGGACAGGACTTTACATTTCCTGGTGCCTAACAACATGTGCAGGATTTTGGTGATTTTACAAGAGTGCATTATAAGAAAAGAAAAGAAACAGGAGTTATGAAGAACATTGGACAAAATGAGGAATCTGGTGATTTTGGTGCCGAGCGTAAAGTTTGGTTATACCTTTATAGAATTAAGCGGCATGTATCATCTGAAAATATTCAAGAGTTCGTAAAAAATCAAAAACAATTCTCTAACGTGGATGTTATGGTAAAGGAGCTACCTACTGAGGAACACCTTAATAAGTTATTTTATGTTTGAGATTACCGAAAAATACAAAGATCAAATCTACAAACAATCTATGTGGCCCAAAGGAATTGGTTTTAAACGTTTTGACTTCAAAAAATTCCACAACTACCAATGTAACAATAAGGATTTTTTTTTTTGAAGGCCTTCCCAGATAAGAAAGAAATTAATATCCCCCAAATGAGGATCAAATAGAATCTTTGACAATACAGGGCACAAAAATAATATTGTAAGTGTGGTAGGTGATAAACTGGATACCAGTGTATCTAAATCTAATATTGTTAATAAATTTTCTATTATTTTATACAACATATGTTCTGTACACAATAAAGTTGAGAAACTAGAAGTATTTCTTGTGCTTTTAATTGAGCACTGGTTGCTCAATTTGGTGCTTTTAATGGAGCACATCCACCATTAACAATTACTCCATAATATCTAAATTTTGCAAATCTGAAAGCATCCATGGAGGCACATTAATTTTAATTAATACAATGTTTCAATCAAATATGTCAATCACAAATTACTTCTTAATAAACTGGAAAGATATGGTTTTAGATGCACTGCTCTAAAGTGGTTCAGTTCATACTTGGAAGGTACTGAACTCTGACTCTAAGGTACTGAACAAGATTATTAGTAGTGATATGCTAAAAATCTTAAGAGTGGTGCAAAGCTAATCATTTAGTTTTTCAAAAACCAAATTAATTTCTTTTAAGAATGATCTAAACAACATTACTCTGGGCTATAAAGGCATTTGTTCTGACACTGTAAACAAATTTTTAGGTCTCCATATTGATAATAAACTTAAGTTTGAGCAACACATGGTATGTTTAAGCAAAAAGATATCATTGGGTTGCTTTGTGGTAAAATCAGTTGCTCACCATTTAGATTTAAGATTGCAAAAAGTGTTTATGTGGCTCTGATTGAATCTAATTTGAGATATGGTATTGCCTTTTGGGGTGCTGTTCTCTCATCATTTCAGTAGAAATTTTTTGCTACAAAAGAGAGCACTCAAGGTCAAGTTTCTGTTCAAGCTTCTGTTCTGGAAACATGATATCTTGACACTTCCTTGGATGTATATCCTAGAATTAGCGTGCTTAATTTTTAAAAAACAAAGAGGTTATTGTGACAGTTTCCCCTTATAACACTTGTCTAAATTATGTTATTCCACTTCCAATTCCCTCTTCTACATTAATTAAAAAATCATTTATTTACACTGGTAAGAAAGTGTTTAATCACCTACCACTCGATATAAGATCTTCAAGCAATATTTTTGTATTTCGAAGAGCAACCAAGAAGTTTTTATTATCTAAATGTTACTATAGTATAGAGGAATTTTTTTAAGGACAGTTACGCTAATTGATACTTTTTTTATTGTGGAAATTTTAATTAATTAGTATTTTAATGTATCTTGTGCCTTGTTTGTACTATACCATGTTGTGGTTTATACATGTAAACTCATTTTAAAAGCAATAAATTTCTCTCTCTCTCTTTCTCTCTCTCTCTCTCTCTACAGCTATATTCTTAGTAATTAATTAATTATATAGTAATGCAATAAAAACATGATTAGAAAAAAATAAACTGTCAACTATCTTAATTTTGCACGAATTTTAGTTTGTCCTACTTTAGAGATGTAAGGGCTCATTGCAATTTAGAGTAAAATTGTTTAGGTTATATTAAACAAAAATATAAAAGGTTAAACTAAATAATAAGTCCTTGAATAGAAATCATATTTTTCAAAATACTCTACATGTACATACCTAATGCTTCCAAATATATGTGGTACTAAATCCACAATAACCAAATTCAATACAATTCAAAAGTATTTCAATAATCTTCAATGTAGACACTTCTTGAAAAAAAAATAATAGAACTACAAATACTGAAGTTGGATGAGTATAGACTATGAGAATTCCTTTTTTTTTTCGATAATCCACACAATATGACACAAATGGAATAAAGTATATTCTAAAAATGTTTATCACTATATTAATGTTATCATTGTTTGAGGTTACAACAGGTAAGTAATTATGCCAAATTTATATTCTAGGAATTATTTTAATAATTGTGTATGTACTTAATTATTCTTGATAGTTTCACACAGTTTTAATAGGCATTTAATAAAAGCAAGATAAAAGTTGTTCTATGATAACAATTTTCTAGGTATAGGATAAAACTCAACAGGATAATTTAACATACATAGGGAGTGACTGTTATCACTTATAATATAATTTTCCTGAATTTCTATTAAACACAGAACATTTTTACATCAGTTAAAAAACACTTGTCTACTTTATAATAATCCTCTGATTTTTTACTTTTTGGACAACTAGGTATTTAAATGCCAAAACACCATTAAGAATTTTCCAATAAAAACAAAATAACCCAATCATATACAATGTTTTGTAATGTAAAACGTTGACACAATTAAAATATGTAAAACTCCCTTTTGATTAACTTATCTATGATGTGTAATGCCGATAGATCATCAACTTCTTGGAATTTCTTTGTTAGTAAAGGGTATACCCCACAGTTAATTCCGTGAATGTATGAGAAATATTAGGTTTATTTATAGCTAATGGCAAAATATACATACTTGGTCAACTCGGAACAAGTCAGTTAACTGTTTTTGATTCTATTTAATGTTATAAATTAGAAAGAATGTCAAAAAAATGGAACATCTGTCAAATAACCTGCCATGTAGCAATTTTCACTGTAGGATTTCTCATAGGTAATAGAAATTCACAATACTTCCCAAAGGTTTACAACAAAGATAATATCAACGTATAATAAACTACGTACACTTTTTCACAATTTTTTTAAGAACTCTTGTATTTTATGCAATAACTCAAAAATTGTCAAGTGTTTTCTCTTGTTAAAGGACACTAATAAATAACTATATTATACATTTACTTACGAATCACTCGGTGTGGAAGTAAAATAAGCGATTAAAAGTGCGAGAAACTAAGGTAATACGTGGATAATCTTATATTTACTTACTTAAATTTCCGAATTAGACAGTTACCAATATGGCGACTTTGATCTTAAATCTTTGCGCAAAATCAGGCGCAGAATAATCTTCTTGGTCAAGGCAAGTTCACACAACACTAAAACGTATTACCGCTTAAATGTTTACCTATTTAAAAATAGAATTTACTTTCTAAACCAAAACTTCTATATAAAAAAATAAATACCTAGCTAATCTACATAATTATGCAACATTGCAAAATGATTTAGTCCTCTAAAAGGCAATAAACCATTTTATTATTATTACATTAATTGAAATGTTACCTACATTTTTTTATTTACTAGTACTACTGTATAATCTCGTAAATAACAATATTATTTGCAACTCTTTAAATTTACACAATTCTTAAACACACAAAAACTAATATAAGATCATTTACAACAATATTTTTTACACTTTTAAATTTTTTCTTTATTGGAATATATAGGTTATTTTTATAAACGTCAATACAATGTACTGAAAAATAGGCAACATAATATACACGTGCGTCAAATATCTCAATATTATTATTGTATAGTTAAATCTTGATTTGATCTCAACCCAACCAGTTTTTTGTTTCAAAAATTTTATTGCATTTAACATTTTTTTTCGATCAACGGGATTCAAGTACATGCTACTTTCCATCATATCTATTTCTTCATCCTGATCATTAGAAATGGGTATTTTTTGTGCATACGTTTGTCCTAATGTGTTTTGATCAGTGGCGGTTGGTGACTCAAAAATTTGGTAGTTCTGCAGTATTTTTTGTTTTTTTTTTTAATTCAATATCTTTTAATCGTTGTATTTTACAACGAGGCTTTTAGTTTGATATTTTACACCATATATTTATTCATTATATATCTATTAAAAAATAATAAAGAACTTACCGATTTTCTTCTTTTCAAATTGAAGATAAATCCAATTATATCAAAAATAGCAATGGTACATTATGACACACTAGTAATTGTTTTATAGTTTATGTTTTTAGTAGAATTTTATCGATAAATACGCGAAACTAAGGAATGCAAACGAAAAAACACTACAAACAAAATCGCCACAACAATAATTGCATTATTGGGTCTTACGAACTAACTACACACAGAGCCAAATATATTATTTTTTTTTTATAAATAAGCTCGATTCGTCGATTTTTTTTAAAGCAAACTTGTCTATAACTTTTTCATTAAAGTTTGGTATTTCTTTTATAAGTGTTTTTTCTACTGACAACATGGTTAATGCTACAAGTCGGTCTTCAGTCATGGAATTTGTCAAGAATGTTTTAATCCGTTTTAAACTCGAAAAGCACCTTTCAGCTTCTGCCGTACTCATGGGCACTGCAATTAGAATTTGAAGCAGTTTTACAGTTTCTTGAAAAGGCTCTGTTAAATTATTTTCAATTAAAATTTTTAAAAAAGGTATTGCCTTATTAATTTCTCTACAGTCTCTTCTAAAATAAATAACAGATAATTCAGTCTTCAAGCGCTCCCTATCTAAATTTGGATATGACGCGCAAGTCATTCTTAAATTATCATCTGGGAAATTATCACAATAATTATCAAATTGCTCAGGATAAAGCAATGAAGTTGCAAGTAGGTGATTTTTAAAAGCAAATCTATCATTTGCACAATTTATGATTTTATCGCAAACTTCGATAGATGCTCTCCGATGATCTACTGGACTGTTATCCTTCCGTAACCTTTTAGTTGGTAATGGTTCAACGCATAAACTAGAACCTTGGTCAATGGTATCATCTATTGAATTTCTAACTGAATTCATGTATCTTTCGAAATCTGTCACCTTTTTATTGATTTCCAAAGGATCCGTTTTAGTCTTTTGAAGGGCATTATACAAAACGTCTACTTGTGGCATTATGCGATGGAAAAATGTTAACTAAAAAACAAAATTTTGATCCACTAGTATTCTTCGAATGGAAGACGCTGAACTACAGACAGAGCTGCCTTATCAAACGATTGTTCTATTTCTTCCATACATTCGATAAAAGAAGATCGATGTTCAAACACAACATTAACAGTTCGAATATTGAAGTTCCAGCGAGTTGGAGCGCCATGAGGAATTTTCTTTTGGACGATTTTATCTAAAACTGCCACTCGTTGTGGCGAATTTTTAAAAAAGGTAGGGATTTCATTTAACTTTCCAAAAAAAAAGTCTAACTTGAGTTTTCGGAACAAGCCTTAGACATTATTAAATTTAATTGATGCGCCTAACAGTGTACAAAATGAGCAAATGGATATTTTTCTTTGATTCTGGCTTGAACTCGTGCGTGCTGTCCACACATGACCGCTGCCCCATCATAACTCTGAGCAATTAGTTTATTATTTGAGTTTTCCAGGATAGGATCCAAAACACTGAAAATGTTTTTGCTTAAAGTATCTGCATTTAATTTTGAAGGTAAAAAATATGTCCAAAATCGTTCTACCGGTGCTCCATTTCGACAATATCTAAATACTACAACCATTTGTGATTTTGCTGAAATGTCTGTAGTCTCGTCGGCCATGACAGCTAGATATGGAGATTCCCGAATTTCCTCCAAAATTTTATCCTGGCATAATTCCAACATGCAGTCCAAAATATCATTTTGAATTTCTTTAGAAATGCCCTAAAAACCGTCGATTTTTCCAAGTGTTGTGCTAAAGTTCTATCCAATTCAGCAGTAAAATTTATGAGGCCGCGAAAAATTCCAGGATTGTCGGATGTTTGTGTCTCGTCGTGTCCCCGAAGCGCCAATTCGAAAATACTACAACATTTTATGCAGTCTATAATTTTTTGAGAGAACATACCTATTTTTTTACAGTTCCATTGAATTTTTGAATATTTATCCAGTATGCAGAATCTAACTGTTCTTTAATATTCACGGAGCCTAATAAAGCATATTCCATTTGATTGTGCAAATGATGCTTAGAAGTTTCATGCTTTTTTATTTTATCACTTAAATGTACTAAGTCTGTTACACCAACTTGCGTCCATGACTTATCACCTCCAAAGAGTACACAAGGAAAACAGAAGAGTGTTTTTTCTGTTGCAGCCACATATCCAACTATTTCTCGTATACATATCACAATTAAATTGTCGTTTGTAATTTTTCCCTCGGCTTGATCCTTTAAAGGTCAATTCAGACACATCAGTCACGTCTCGTCACAGTCCTGGCGCCAAACCGAACAATCCGTCATACAAAATATTCTTTAATAGAAATATGGCGCCGGCATTCACATTCATCAGGCGACGAACAGTTTGCCAGCTGTCAGATAGTTGATAGTTCTGTGACCAAACAGGACCGGTTCGGCGCCGAGACTGTGACGGGACTGATGTGTGTGAATCGACCTTAATTCCACTTACAATAGAATCTTTCTGCCTTTACGTGAATTTTGACTCCGCCTTCGCGCAGCTACACGGTCAAGAGTGCTTGCAAGTACTGTACTTCCGCCTTGTTAGGATTCTGAATTTGTTATCCTATCTCTTCCTAATCATTTTATTGTCTCTATTTCATTTCGTCGTTCTAGTAGTCCCTTAAATCCCATAAAATAAAACAATTTTTTATACAAAAGTCTTTAATAAAAAAAATATTACACCTTTGAACCTACTAATAACCAAAAAATCATTAAGCAACCAAGCACTTTTCATCATATAAATATTTTAAAATATAATCTACGGACAGCACAGTTATTAAGCGATATCTTTCACTTTGGTTAATGGGTACATCTCTACACATAAACCTTTTTGGCAAAAACTGTGAAATTCCAGCTTTTAATGATTCCATTATTTATTTCTTTTTATTAATTATTAAACAAGATGCAGTATCATCACATTTAACCTGTTCTTGGGAGGTTTCAATTATTTTAAATTAGTAAAATAAATTAAGTCATAACTCTAGGTCAAGTAATGTGTCAAACGAAAGCCCTCAAGGGCGTCCAGGTCATATACGTACATATTAACATGTTAATATATACGTCTATGGTGCAGGTTGCCTTGCAAACACAAAGACTTACTGCACCTAGCGACAACGCTGCAAAGATTTCTGACATTGCTCGGGACTAACTGAATTGAACAGTTTTTAGCACATTAAAGTTGCTAAAGATAAATGTTGCTGAAAACGAGGCTGAAGATGATGCAGAAAATGAAACTGGAGATGAACAACACACCATCCGAACAGTTAACAACAACTATGGAAGCAGCGGCATTTGTTTGGAAAGATGAAACGTTTTTACCGGTCATACACCTTTTTGATAATACTAATTCTGGATGTAAAATTGATAGTTTATCAGATACGCCACATGCTGTAGATTTTTTTGAAAGCTTTTTTACGCTCCAAATAATGAAGAAAATTGCAGATGAGAAAAACCGATACTATGAACAGGAAAATAGACAACAGCTTGATGCGAATTCACGTCTACAACGATGGAAATCAGTTAATATAAATGAAATATTATTGTAAAAAGCCTATTGCTTTTAGTGATCAATCTGTTGATACCCCAGACGAATAAATCGAATGTCAATGATTATTGGACTAGTAAACCTTTTATGAATATCCACAAGGAATCTACGTTCCTGTAGTTGGCTGTATACCATATATTAAAAAAATTATTAAAACCCTTTGTAAAAGGTATCCTTTTTACTAACGATTTTAACAATTCTTTTATGAATACTCCAATTTTTGGGCGCCTCATGACAAGAGATCGCTTTCTACTAATTTTGAGGATGATGTATTTTGTTGATAATGATGAAGAGCCTGTCAAAACCTTTACTGGTCTGTATCATTGGTTAATAGGTTAAGTATGACAGAACAGTTAATTAGTGGGAGAAGTTAACTTATTTACTGTGAAATCATATTTTTATAGGTGTTATTTTTATAAGTATGCCAATAGGCCAATAGATATATGTCTATGACCAATGTGGAGAGATCTATCAATTAGTATGTTATGACAACATGTCAAATTGAATGTGTCATGTGATTTGGTTAAATAATAAAAACAAAACATTTAAAGTATTTTCATGAAAACAATAAACATTAAAATAAAAAAATG